TAAAATAAACCAGACAGTAATAACAGCTTGAAAGCCAGACAGAAATCTTAAACCCCACCCAACCATAACCGACTTTAAATTTGCCATACAATGATACCATTGCTTTCTTCATTCGTAAAAAAGCCAACACCCCCTTAATAAAAAAAAAAATGGGAATTCTCTTAACACCAACAACTTAACTTAAAAATAGAGTAAATCCAATTTTTTCGTAAGTTATACTTAGCATTGCTTGAGAATGGTACCGAGCTCTGAATTTTAACTTTAAATTTTAAAGTTAAATTTTAAGATTTAAGTTTCAGTTTCGAAACGTAGTAATTTCTGTGTCGCGATGGTGACATATTTTTAAAAAAATATTTATAATAATTATAATAATGATATATATATATATATATATATATATATATATATATATATATATATATATATATATTATATATGCTAAATGTAATTTTGTTTGGCACAAGACAAAATTATGAAATAATGAAGGGGAAAAGATTATGTTTTTAACTGGCCAGGTTTGCTTATCATGCCTGTCTTGGACATCAGCCTTCAAATTTCAGTCTTTAACCTTGGCTGGAACCATCGCCAGTGGTTCTGAAAAACCCATAACTAAACGACCATAGAAGAATCAATCAGTTAATTGTAAGACTCAAATTGACTATCAATTGATCGACTTTATGCCGAAGTAAACGCCCCTGCTTTTATTTCCCTTTGCCTGTATATCGGTTGAGATATTCAATCTGAGTAATGGTTAACGAGCTAGTTTAACAGTCCATTACGGTTATGCATTCATGTTCGGTTTACGACTATTCGGAGTCGGATGTCTATAATAATTAACGGATACTAGGAAATCCGTTTTACGGTTAACACTTCTTCATTACACGAAGTGGAATAAGATTAGAGGGACGTAGCTTGCTGACTGCAGCAATAGCATTAAGAACCTCTGGGTGTTTCACCACATGACATTGAATTATATATCAGTATGCTATACTAAAAAGTCCCTGTTTAAAGTTTCCTTCGTGGTTGTGAGGGATAAATATCTAATTACTGTACGTGACTATTTTGGTCTTCAGTGAGAGTCCCCATCTGATGACATTGTGCAAGGATAAGCTGAGATTGGGCACCTGCATTAATACGACCTTTCCAAACCTATTTCAAAAGGAATTTCGCCAGTGCATCAAGTAACTTCTGAATACCCTACATTAGCATGCTAAAATACTGGTTTTCATCAGAATATCAACCTCTGTTACCTGGGAAGAACGTTCGTCTGAGTTTAGTGACACTGGAACAGAGGCTAGAAAGAATGTTCATATGCCTGCCTAGAAAATCAGCATGCAAATCGTGATTTGCCTGAACTTGAACAAGAAACTCTTGTACAGTTGTAAAATACCTCAAGTTGTCGTTGTTTACTAAATATCGAGCGGGACAATTCGAAATGGTCGTATATACGAGAAAACATTTGTTTTTTATGGCTTATCAACCCTTTGTGGGTTATTTAAAGCCGAAACATATTTTGGATTGTAAGAAGGATTTTTGGAGAGTAAATATTATTGTATTATCAGTATTTTTCTAAAACAATGGCCTTTCCAGAGACAAGTCCCACTGTTTAAACCATAGCCGGGGAAGAGATGAATTCAGTACTCTCCAAATGGTATTTCGCGTAAGTGAATACGACGATTTCTTATTCAAAGCCGCTATTCAATCATCTTTCGAAATTTTGATTACTTTTTCTAACTTGCTCAAATTTCATAACGCAAAAAAGACAAAATTTGAATAGTAGGCTGCCAAGAATTATTCACACGCTGCGTATCAGTCTTTTGTCTCAGTCTATTTCATAAATAAGCTTGGTCATATCTGTTTGTCTTTCATAGCTAGGTTTGGTCATATCTGTTTGTCTCAGTCTATTTCATAGCTAAGTTTGGTCATATCTTTGCTCTGCCGTGAAGTCTTTTATGGTTGAGCGGTGGAAAGCACACCTGGATTGGTCGTTTCCTCATTGTAAAGAGAACGCACGTTCTGACCTTGTCAAAAAGCACATTAGATTGCCCCAGCTGGTAGACGTCTTCTCAGACACGTGTATCAACTAACTATAGCATTTATAGCAGTAAACTTTTGTATTAAATAAAAGGACTGTGTGGAATATTTCTACCGGTGGGCACTTTTCAACTTATAAAATATATGTACCGTTTCAAATAAATGTTTCGCAAAGAATTTTCATATAGGTTTGATAAATGTGAAACAAAATAATTGTGCCGCGGAGAAAATTATTTTATTACCAAATAAGAAAAAAACTAAAGGAAATAATTAAATCATGCCGGTACTTGTATTTAGTACACAAGAAATTTTTCAAAAGTTGACATCCGATGCAATTCTAGCTTGTGGAAAATCTATTCGGGTCTTTTTGCGTTGCAGTCAACTTTGATCTTCAAAACATCCAAATGAAATGTCAATCTTAATTGTCTGCCTTTGTAATTCCTCTTATTTCATTGTTCTCTTTCATTAATAATGTTTTTCTTTTTCTTCTATTCTTTCACAGTCAGTAACCCCTTTGCATCTTAATGTCTTTATTGCCTTGCTTGGGATGAAATGATTTTAAAAAATGCAGTTGTCAAATATTTCATTCACATTTCGAAATACAATTTGTCCATGTTTTTCTTCATGTTCTATGTTACCTTGCGATCATGGCCCTCCACAACTTCCTATCTTTTTTAGACGTTATTAAAGTTTGTCTTTTTGCTCTTTCTCCTAATTGCTGTTCTGTCAACCATTTACACAAGCTCATTAGGTTAGGCACTGCTTTCCTCTACCTTCAGAATGTCCTGTGAGTGTCAAATTCTCTAAGCCCTCTTTTCTCATTATGTGTCCTAGAAACTGTTTTAATATCAACATTCAAAATAAGTTTACCGCAATTTACCTTCTTCTTCTTCTATATGCTGTCTCTTTTTATGCTAAGTATAAGTATCCTTTTTGTTTCCATTTTCTCTAAGACATCGTTGTTGCTCACATGTTCAGTTCGTGGTATTCTCAGCATTCCTCTGTAGAACCACATTTCTTTCCTCTCAAGTCTTTTCTTTAGATTGTCCAATATTCACTGTCACATAGGAGTGCCGATATTACATAGCAGTTCAGTATTTTTTCCTTTGTTCCTAACGAAATGTTCCTGTTTCTTAATACCTTGCTTAACTTTTGAAAGGGGTATTTCCCTATCTCAATGCAGCTTCGGTTTTTGGTTTCGCATTTTTCGTGCTCTGTTACAAGAATTCCCAGATATTCCCAATTTGTAATTCACATGTTGGACTGTCCCTTCTGTAGACAACCATATATTCTGTCTTCTTACAATTGTGCTTAATTCTTTCTCCTTGCTTTCCTTTAACGTACAAATAATATAAAAACGACAAAACATCAGAGTGGAGTTTATACACAAGTCATCAATGTGCTCTTTAAACGTTAAGAATACTAAGTGTGTATTAGCATGAGGGTTTTGTCATACTGCGTTTTCTTAGAGAACAGCATTTTGTTCGAACAAGTAACTTGTCTTATTCACATCATATATCACTAGCATTTCATGTAATCATGTTTATGAAAAATCTGACGAAGAAATCTAAAGGATACATTGAGTTTAACAGTTACTTCGTGAGACAAATTTAAACAGTCATTATGAGGCAAAGGCTTGTATCACATTAGAAGCCACCATGTTAATGTTCTTGATGAGTTTCAAAGAGAAATGACCATGTGAAAATTAAGCGCGCATATCGCATAACATTACGCTAGATTTTTCTTCACGTATACCAAACTAAAATAAAGGGCTAATCTTTTATGTTTAATTATATCGGATCCTGTTATGGTTGACTATAATGGATAGCGGCTCGGATTGAGGAATCGGAGAGCCGAGTTCGAATTCCAGTCGAATCCATTACATTCACTTACATAATACTCTTGGGAAAGGTATGAATCCCCTTCTTCTTCTTCGCCCCAGCTATGGGTAAATAGCAGGACACACCGGGTTCTATAGACTTGGATGGTAAGTGATCTACCGCAGAAAGAAATGGCAACTTACTGTGGGAAAAAATCTGCTTCGTTAGTCACATGATCGCCTAAGCGTGTATAACTAACTGACTGACTGATGATGACCACATATAGTACAGTAAGTATAAACAACACTAATTCTTATGAAAAATACCATATTAATTATACTTGTTGAATAACCGAAGAACACATCAGCCTATAATTTTTTGATGATTTTATTTTGTTATACTGGAATGAAACTCGAATTCAGCTGTAAGAACCTGCAGTGGGAAATCGGAAATAAATAAATAACTTCCGATAAGACTTAAATAAGTTGCGTGGAAACTAATATTCAAACCATATAATAATTATCAATGTGTATTTACTTATATATTTTCTGTCCCATATATAGTGGGAAGGGAGGTAACTCAACTTAAATTAGTAAATTTATGAGTGATTACTTCCCTTAATCATTTTAATAATCTATACAAATAAAAAAAAAAAAGTTACCTGCAACTGTACAAATTACTTCCCGAGCAAAATGAACCTTTTAATTAATCACTTCTTTTATTACCACGTTTCTTAGGTCGTAATTTTATTTGTTCAAGCCTTTCATGTAAGGCACTCAACTACCTTTGTCTATTGAATGATCGTCTTGCTTCAACTTGGTCTTGAAACAGGCTTTGTCATCGTCTTTGTCGTTCTGTTGCTGATCATTTTCTTCCGAGAGATATTTCCATTTCACTGTTATATTAAACACATACAATTTTTTAACATGAAAAGATACTGAGCAGAAAGCGATTTACCAGGAGTAATCAATGAATCATAGATAGCATTGAAACTCTAAAAAATATAAAGGGAAAGGATTAATTAAACGGTTCGTTGGCGTCTATTCTAGTTGTGAATTCATTATTTCCGCTATATTGAATCTCAATGCATTGTTTGAAAACTTTTGTTTCATTTCGTTTCAATATTAAACTTTCTAACATTTGGCGTCATTTTTGACGGCACGGGTAGACTAGTAAAATAATAATGATGATGTAATGATTAATGCAACCGTTTGTTCTAGCAGCAGAAAAATGTATCGACCTAGGGTAATAAGATGGAGAAAAACTAGGAAATATAACGAAAGAAAGAAAAAACAAAGAAGACGTACAAAGTGAAAAGGGACACAAAGTGCAAAAAAAGAACGAAAGTGACATAAGGTCAAAAGAAAGAAAGAAAGAGAGAGAGAGAGAGAGAGAGAGAGAGAGAGAGAGAGATAAATGAAAAAAGAAATATGGAAAAGAGAGAGGCGCAAAATGAAAAGTAAAAACAAAAGAAACACAAAATAAAATAAGAGACACAAAGTAACAAGAAAGATAAAAAGAGACTTAAATTAAAAAGAAAGAAAGAGATATAAAATTTAAACTAGGAAAGAAAGAGGCACAAATTAAAAAGAAAAAATGAAGGAAAGAAAGAAGCATGAGATGGAAAGTACAAGTAAAGAGACAGTAAAAAGAATGAAACCGATAGATAGTGAAAAGAAAGAAACATAACATGAAAAATAAGAAAGAAAGAGAGACAAAGTAAAAAGAAGGAGACAGGAAAAAGAAAGAGACAGGAAAAAGAAAGAGGGACAAAGTAAAAAGAAAGAGACAGGAAAAAGAAAGAGGCAAGAAAAAGAAAGAGAGACAAAGTAAAAAGAAAGAGACAGGAAAAAGAAAGAGACAGGAAAAAGAAAGAGAGACAAAGTAAAAAGAAAGAGACAGGAAAAAGAAAGAGAGACAAAGTAAAAAGAAAGAGACAGGAAAAAGAAAGAGAGACAAAGTAAAAAGAAAGAGACAGGAAAAAGAAAGAGAGACAAAGTAAAAAGAAAGAGACAGGAAAAAGATAGAGACAAGAAAAAGAAAGAGAGACAAAGTAAAAAGAAAGAGACAGGAAAAAGAAAGAGAGACAAAGTAAAAAGAAAGAGAGACAAAGTAAAAAGAAAAAGACAGGAAAAAGAAAGAGAGACAAAGGAAAAAGAAAGAGGGACAAAGTAAAAAAAAAGAGACAGGAAAAAGAAAGAGACAGGAAAAAGAAAGAGAGACAAAGTAAAAAGAAAGAGAGACAAAGTAAAAAGAAAGAGACGGGAAAAAGAAAGAGAGACAAAGTAAAAAGAAAGAGACAGGGAAAAGAAAGAGACAGGAAAAAGAAAGAGAGACAAAGTAAAAAGAAAGACACAAGAAAAAGAAAAAGACAGGAAAAAGAAAGAGAGGCAAAGTAAAAAGAAGGAGACAGGAAAAAGAAAGAGACGGGAAAAAGAAAGAGAGACAAAGTAAAAAGAAAGAGACAAGAAAAAGAAAGAGAGACAAATAAAAAGAAAGAGAGACAAAGTAAAAAGAAAGAGACAGGAAAAAGAAAAAGACAGGAAAAAGAAAGAGACGGGAAAAAGAAAGAGACAGGAAAAAGAAAGAGACGGGAAAAAGAAAGAGACAGGAAAAAGAAAGAGAGACAAAGTAAAAAGAAAGAGACAAAGTAAAAAGAAAGAGACAAAGTAAAAAGAAAGAGAGACATAGTAAAAAGAAAAAGACAGGAAAAAGAAAAAGACAGGAAAAAGAAAGAGACAGGAAAAAGAAAGAGACAGGAAAAAGAAAGAGAGACAAAGTAAAAAGAAAGAGAGACAAAGTAAAAAGAAAGAGACAAAGGAAAAAGAAAGAGACAGGGAAAAGAAAGAGAGACAAAGTAAAAAGAAAGAGACGGGAAAAAGAAAGAGACAGGGAAAAGAAAGAGAGACAAAGTAAAAAGAAGGAGACAGGAAAAAGAAAGAGACAGGAAAAGAAAGAGAGACAAAGCAAAAAGAAAGAGACAAGAAAAAGAAAGAGAGACAAAGTAAAAAGAAAGAGACAGGAAAAAGAAAGAGACAGGAAAAAGAAAGAGAGACAAAGTAAAAAGAAAGAGACAGGAAAAAGAAAGAGAGACAAAGTAAAAAGAAAGAGAGACAAAGTAAAAAGAAAGAGACAGGAAAAAGAAAGAGAGACAAAGTAAAAGAAAGAGAGACAAAGTAAAAAGAAAGAGACAGGAAAAAAGAAAGAGAGACAAAGAAAAAAGAAAGAGGGACAAAGTAAAAAAAAGAGACAGGAAAAAGAAAGAGACAAGAAAAAGAAAGAGAGACAAAGTAAAAAGATAGAGACAAGAAAAAGAAAGAGAGACAAAGAAAAAAGAAGGAGACAGGAAAAAGAAAGAGACAGGAAAAGAAAGAGAGACAAAGTAAAAAGAAAGAGACAAGAAAAAGAAAGAGAGACAAAGTAAAAAGAAAGAGACAAGAAAAAGAAAGAGAGACAAAGTAAAAAGAAAGAGACAGGAAAAAGAAAGAGAGACAAAGTAAAAAGAAAGAGAGACAAAGTAAAAAGAAAGAGACAGGAAAAAGAAAGAGAGACAAAGTAAAAAGAAAGAGAGACAAAGTAAAAAGAAAGAGACAGGAAAAAGAAAGAGAGACAAAGGAAAAAGAAAGAGGGACAAAGTAAAAAGAAAGAGACAGGAAAAAGAAAGAGACAAGAAAAAGAAAGAGAGACAAAGTAAAAAGATAGAGACAAGAAAAAGAAAGAGAGACAAAGAAAAAAGAAGGAGACAGGAAAAAGAAAGAGACAGGAAAAGAAAGAGAGACAAAGTAAAAAGAAAGAGACAAGAAAAAGAAAGAGAGACAAAGTAAAAAGAAAGAGACAAGAAAAAGAAAGAGAGACAAAATAAAAAGAAAGAGACAAGAAAAAGAAAGAGAGACAAAGTAAAAAGAAAGAGACAAGAAAAAGAAAGAGAGACAAAATAAAAAGAAAGAGACAGGAAAAAGAAAGAGAGACATAGTAAAAAGAAAAAGACAGGAAAAAGAAAAAGACAGGAAAAAGAAAGAGAGACAAAGTAAAAAGAAAGAGACGGGAAAAAGAAAGAGAGACATAGTAAAAAGAAAGAGACGGGAAAAAGAAAGAGGGACAAAGTAAAAAGAAAGACAAGAAAGATACAGGAAGTGGAAAGGAGAAAGCGACACAAATAAAAGAGAAAAAAGAAAAATAGATATAAAACAAAAAGTTAGAACAAAAGAGACACAAAGTGAAAAGAAGGAAATACTGAAAAGAAGAAACTGTTTTATCTTGAAAGGAATTAACATCGGAAGTTAATCCGTGTCTATTTCTGTTCCTTTGTACTTTCGTCCCTTACACAAAGTATTTATTCTTTTCATATACATTTCGTTATCATGTTTTTAAACACTTCTACACCCGGCATCAATTTTATTAAGAGTAATTTCTTTTTTTTTCTTTTCTTTCTTTTTTTTTTATTTTCTTTCTTTTTCGTTGCTCTGGTGGTTTTACATCGCGCTCAAAGCATCTCGGTGAAAAACTTATTACCATTGTTGTGATACAATTTCTTGATGTGAAATGTCGCAAAAACAAAAAAAGTAACTATGAAGATCTCAATTAATTCACCTTTCGGTGGCATTTCGTGCATGTTTAATTATTTTCTTCATTACTTATCCAAGACGTTTACAGAGAAGTGTCAGGTAATCAAAAAAGCCCGTATGTTTTTCGACATTTTTTTTTTGTTTTAAGAAAGGACAAAAATTTCACCGGGCAGCGATCCGTAAGCATTTCATTTTCGGTAACATGAAACTAATGCACCCACAGACCCCAAATCTTTCAGAATACTTAAAAAAAAAACTTAACTACTGAAATTAACAAGTTGATTAGGAGAGATTGACAAACGATAAGAATTTAAACTTGGAACAAAAACAGAAAACGATAAGAATATATTTTTAATGATTTCACCCCCAAGCAAGGCAATAAAGCCACTAAGACGCGGGGGGGGGTGTTACTAAGTGCGAAACAAAATAAGGAAAAGAAAAAAATATTAAGGAGCGGGAACAATAAATAAACAGAAAGACAGAAGATAACAACTGACATTGCATTTAATTTTTTGAAGATAAAAATTGACTGGAAAGCAAGAAGCCGGAAGAGAGTTCCACAAACGAGAAGTGCGAGAAAAGAAACTTTTGGGATAGAGATAACGGTTACATCTAGCAATTTCCACAGTAAAATGATGAGACCTTGCCGCCAATCTAGTACTGCGATTAAATTCATAAATTCTTGGTGACATAGAGGAAAGTAATATTTATTTTTCTTAATACAAAATGTGACACAAGGCCAAAAGGGGGGTAGGGTAGGCTGGTAACTATGAAGATCTCAATTAATTCACCTTTCGGTGGCATTTCGTGCATGTTTAATTATTTTCTTCATTACTTATCCAAGACGTTTACAGAGAAGTGTCAGGTAATCAAAAAAGCCCGTATGTCACTCTGTATAATCCTTACACCAAAACAACACATTCTTACTTACCATTCTTGCTACAGCCACCATAATACCTCAGAGTCTCTATGTAGTCCTAATTAGTCCCAGATGTACATTCGTTTGTGGGGGGTGAGGAAAATTCATCAGAACAATTACCATGTAAATATTTATAGAAAAATCACGTAGAAGCTACGTTGCGGCAGTGAGAAAGTGACTGAAGCCAAGATGCCAGGACTGGACCAATGATATTGCAGATTCTTTGAATTTCATCAATGATCTCTAAATACAGGGTGTTTCAAAAAATTTGATATCCTTTGAGATGTAAATATCACAGAAAGTACATGATTAAGGCAAATGAAATTAAAAAGTATTAATGTTGAAGATCATAAGGATTTATTCTTCCAAATCTGAATGAGAAATTCAAAAGCATGTGGATTATGTGAACGATTTCACAAATGTTCAATATGCGAACCGCCTGAGACACGGCATTTTATACCTGGAAAGAAAAAGATTAAAGATTAAAGAACATAAAAATACAAATAAGAAAAAACACAAAACATAAAGACATAAAAACCATAAAACAAACATTAAACATAAAGATGCTATTAAAATTTGAAGTCATTTGAAGGAGATCTAACAAAGTTATTAGATTGCGAAATGATATCAAATTTTTTGAAACACCCTGTATATAACAGGTTCTCCAAGCCATATGGAGCAGCGATATTCAAAGCTGGGGAAGATTAAACTCGTGACCGTACTGATATAAAGTGGTTACGGATGTTCCCAATCAGAAAATGAAATTTTTAAAGGACAGTCCATAAACTGTGGGCTGCCCCACTTGACTTCACTAAAAATCTGTCGCTAGGGAGCGCTCCATAAGTCTATAAATAGGCAATGACATTCACAGTCACCCTTCTTCCCTTTTTCTCTTGGACAACAAAATGCAGCCTCCCGTAGTAAAAATGTGCCCCCCCACCGGGGTACACACGCTCACTTCATGTTCTTAAATGTAACACTTTTCACTCTAACTTCTCCTATACAAACTTCATACACATATATACATTGTCTAGTTTAAATGTTTTCTTGTAATACATTCTTTAAATGTTTTCTTGTAAAATACATTCTTTAAAGGTTTTCTTCTTTCATATTCATTGTTTTTGTCACCCGCAACAATCTTCTATTGTCATTATATAATATTGGTAAAAATACATTGTCGTTTGTATATAGTTTTTTTGTTACTTTATTCATTTATTACCCGGACTCACATTTGAGTCCGCAATAATTGTTTTGGGAAAAATATGCCAGGCGAAACGTACTTTCTACCTAAACACGACTAGCACACTAGTAACAAAGTATTAATGATGACCAACTAAGTACTTGTATTGCATATCATACACTCCAAACATATCGGTTGGTTGCAGATGAGACTACGTATATAACTGCAACTCGTTAGAGAAAATAGTGATAAAGTAAATTCTCATTGTAAGAACGAAAGAAAGAAAGAGACATAAAGTGAAAAAAAAGAAACAGACTAAGTAAATAGTAAGAAAGAAAGAGGCAAACAGTGAAGAAAAAGAAACAGACTAAGTAAATAGTAAGAAAGAAAGAGGCAAAAAGGGAAAAAAAGAAACAGACTAAGTAAATAGTAAGAAAGAAAGAGGCAAAAAGGGAAAAAAAGGAAACAGACTAAGTAAATAGTAAGAAAGAAAGAGGCAAAAAGTGAAAAAAAGAAACAGACTAAGTAAATAGTAAGAAAGAAAGAGGCAAAAAGTGAAAAAAGAAACAGACTAAAAATAGTAAGAAAGAAAGAGGCAAAAGTGAAAAAAAAGAAACAGACTAAGTAAATAAGAAAGAAAGAGGCAAAAGAAAAAAAGAAACAAAAAGTGAAAAAAAAGAAACAGACTAAGTAAATAGTAAGAAAGAAAAGAGGCAAAAAGTGAAGAAAAAGAAACAGACTAAGTAAATAGTAAGAAAGAAAAGAGGCAAAAAGTGAAAAAAAAAAGAAACTGACTAAGTAAATAGTAAGAAAGAACGAGGCAAAAAGTGAAAAAAAGAAACAGACTAAGTAAATAGTAAGAAAGAAAAGAGGCAAAAAGTGAAAAAAAAAGAAACAGACTAAGTAAATAGTAAGAAAGAAAAGAGGCAAAAAGTGAAAATAAAAGAAACAGACTAAGTAAATAGTAAGAAAGAAAAGAGGCAAAAAGTGAAAAAAAAAGAAACAGACTAAGTAAATAGTAAGAAAGAAAGAGGCAAAAAGTGGAAAAAAAAAGAAACAGACTAAGTAAATAGTAAGAAAGAACGAGGCAAAAAGTGAAAAAAAAGAAACAGACTAAGTAAATAGTAAGAAAGAAAAGAGGCACAAAGTGAAAAAAAAAAGAAACAGACTAAGTAAATAGTAAGAAAGAACGAGGCACAAAGTGAAAAAAAAGAAACAGACTAAGTGAATAGTAAGAAAGAAAAGAGGCACAAAGTGAAAAAAAGAAAGAAAAAAGAAAGACAAAGTGAAAAAAAGCAACAATGAAAAGAAAGAGACGCTAAGTGAAAAGTAAGAACGAAAGAATATTTAAAAAATATTAATCAGTGAAAAATACGGATATTTAATTTACTTAAATACCATGCTGTTGGTAAAGTAAAACGGTTTTTAACAGAAAGGATTTTAAAAGATATTTCTAATCGTTTCATCCCAAGCAAGTGAATAAAGCCACTAAGACACAAGCGGTTACCAAGTGTGAAAGAATCTGAAAGAAAACATTATTAAGGAGAGAAGACAATAAAATAACAGGAATTAAGGTGATAGAAGATGACAGTTGGTATTGCATTTCGATTTTTGAAGATGAAATTTGACTGGTAAGCAAGAAACTGGAAGAGATTTACAAAAACGAGAAATACAAAAGAAAAAACTGTTAGCATAAACCGATGGCTACATTTAGTAATTTCAGCAGTAAAACAATGAGAATTATCTGCCAACCTAGCACTGCAATTAAATTCGTAAATTCTAGGTACCAAAGAGGAAAGCGCTTCATAGCAATTACTATGTAAATATTTATAGAAAAGGCACACGGAAGTTGCGTTATATTTATTTAAATATTACTTATCTCCTTTTTTTAATGGTGGCAACCCAACTTGAGACAAATTATCGATTTCCCATTCAAATAAATCTTGGTTTTATCCGTAAAATGGTTTGAAAGACTGTTTTTAACTTTTTTGTTGCTTCTGAATATTCTGCAACCTATGAAATGTTCTAAAATGAGAATCTGGTGAGTATAGAGGATGTGGAAGCGTCTGCCTTTCTATTTAACTTATTTTTTGTTGAGTTTTCTTTGCGGAGTGTACACCTTTATCATAAAACATTTCCTATTTACAAAAGCAAGGCATTTTCGAAGTAATGCTTTGTTTAAATGAACAAATTGCGCCACCAAGATACAAGGGGTTACTGAGTTTGAAAGAATAGGAGGAAAAGAAAAACATTATTAATGAGAGAGAACAATAAAAGAACAGGTGTTAAGACAGAAGATAACGACTGACATTGTATTTAAATGTTTGATTGGGAAGTGAAAAATCAAAAGAGAGTTCTACAAGTGAGAACTGCGACAGAGGAAACTGTTAGCATAGAACCTACGGTCACATCTAGTCATTTCAATAGTAAAATGATGATACCTATCCACCAATTAAGTCTTTTCTTTCTATGTGCCGTGTCCTTTCTGGACGTAGGCGATTATGGCTCTCTCCACCTCCCTCTATCCCTTGCAGCTCTCAACAAGTTCCTTCCCTCTGTCACCTTCCCCAGACTACGTTCTGTCATCAACTTGCTTAAGGCCGCCAGGTATGTCACGCATTATTTTCCCTTGCCTTTCTTTCCCTCTATTCGACCCGTGAGTATTAGATTATCCAGGCCCTCTTCATTATGCTTCCAAAGAACATCAGCTGCCTCTTCTTGATGTTAAGTATAAGCCTCCTACTTGTTTGCATCCTCTCTAAGACCTCATCATTGCTCACACGATCGGTCCATGATATCCTCAGCATCCTTCTGTAGAACCACATCTCCGTCGCCTCGAGTCTCTTCTTCATTTTTGAGGAAATCATCCAGCATTCACTGCCGTGAAGAAGGACAGATGTCACGTAACAGCTCAGTATTCTTTTCTTTGTTGCTAAAGAAATCCACCTGTCTCTCAATACTCTGCCCAACTTTTGGAATGCGTCCTTGGCCATCCCAATACGTCTACGGATCTTAATGTCGCATTTACCGTTATCTGTCAGAAATCTTCCCAGATATTTAAACTTCCGAGTCTGCTTGATTTTAGTGCTTCCGACCTTCATATCACATTTTGGGCTCATCTTTTTACTGATGACCATACATTCTGTTTTCTTGTAGTTTATGCTTCGTCCTTTTTTTACATTCTTCGAGTACTACGCTTAAATTCGTAACGTTGATGTAATCTCTACGCCACGTAATTAATGAATGTTAGCCAATTTTATCAGAAATAAAAAAAATAAACTTGAAGCAACAAAAATGGTGTTCTCTAGAACTAGATATTCTGTTACCATAAACGGAATAGACACGAACAACTAAGGCGATCTCAAGCCGGCAGCAGTTTAGTTAAAAAGGTCAACAAAATCATGGAAGTTTTTGAAAATGGCTACAATAGCCGAAAGTATTCATTAACCAAACTTGTATAAATTAAAAATTGCTGTCCAATCACACACAGACACGCACACACAAATACACACACATACATAGATACACATACGCACACACATACACACACATACATATACATACATACACACACTTTTGTGTTTTTTTGTTTTTTTCATTTTTTGTTTTATATTTCCATGTTGAAAAGTATTACAAGTGAATAAACATGAAAGAAGGCCTGGAATATTATTTAAAAAAATAAGTGGATGAGTAACGTGTTAGTAACAGAATTATCTCCCCTTCTCTTAAAATCCGAATCCCTTTTAGTCAAATATCGTTAAATCGTTTTCTATCCAGTCAAATATTCCTTCTGTAAAATGTCGATTTTGGAAGCTACATATATAAATTCACCAGAAACAGAGATATTTCACTATTTCCATTTTAGGGGTGGTGCTTGTGTGGATTTTAAGTATTTTATTTTTCGCTTTTTCACAGAAGGGGAGTTATAACTCTGAGTAAATAATTATAACCCCCCGCGTCATTTATATATACAAAAATACTCGTAGGAAACGAAAAACAGCAAAACGTGGAAACAAAACGAGTATTATTTATTGTCTGATTGTTAAGTGGTGTCAGACAATATTAAAGATAATAATAAAAAAATAAAATTGTGAGTTAGGATCAAATGTAAATCAAATATGGTTCGAAATCCGACAGAATGGCAAGATAAAGAAGGGATAAATTGTAGACAGTCTTTCTCGTATGTTTCACATATATATATATATATATATATATATTATCAGTGTGTGTAATGAGTGTCCAGATAATTTATTTGGAAAAGAATTTTCTGGAGTTTTCTTATATCGAAGTTTTCTTGAGTGTTAAAAGATAAATGCTACGATCGTGAAAAAGGAAAGAAGCCCAAATTTTCGTTGACCCACATGTTGTCTGCCAGTCCGATAGTGAATATGTCACGTGTTTGTGTATGTAGAGGAGAAAAGTGGGTTTGATTCTCGTCGGTTTAGGAAGAGTGAATTAATGATAATTATAATTGTTATAATTATTTTATTATAATTATATTTGACAGTATAATTAATATTTCATTTAGGTATTTTTATGGACAACGGCATCGCCATTTTACCTCTTACACGTACGTTTGTTGGGATTTTCACAGTTGCGCGCGGGCGTTTGTGTGTGCGCTCGGGAGTGTATAGAGTGGAATGAACAAACCCAAGGTTCAAAATAATTTTTACAGCTTTTATTCGTGGCCAAAAGAGAATGCAAATTAGTGTTAAATAGAGAAAAAATTGAGTTTCCCAGTTAGCAGAGCTCTTCACTTGAGTAAATATTGTTGTTCATGATGACGGTCGTCTTCGAGTATAGAATCCAGAGGTTAGCAGTGAATATTTCGAAGACAGTAGTGGATATCCCGGTAAAAGTAGCAGAACGTAGTTCGTCCTTCTGTTTCTCTTCGCTTGACAAGCTAGAACTGGACATTCGGGTAGAGTAAACAAAATGGCCACCTTTATACACGACGGATTGAATGTTCTACGTCTTCTGATTGGTTAACCTTCTATTGGTGGACTATAAAGTGAGTCAAGTCATTTGGGCTAGCTCACTAGTTACATATACACAAAAACTGCAACAAATATTTCGAAGAGAGATTTATCCGCTTCTTTCCACATGATATGAGAAATCTCAGATTCAAGCTTCCAGAACTGGGTCTTCTGTAGCAGGGATTGTGAGTGGTTCTTCGAGCAGGCCTTGAAGGTAGCGGCCGCTGAAAAGGAAAAGTGGAAAAAGAGGCTGAATAGGGCTCGGTCAGCGTTTGTATAAGTTCTGGGACATTCCTGTTGTTCCCTATTGATTACTTCTGTTGCTGATACTGCTGAATCGAGAATAGTCAGTAAAAATACATGTCACGATAGTCAACAAGCGAGCTAGTTACTATGCATTCCTTAATTTCAATTACTTGATTTACTCACCATGAAATTCCAGGTTATGACTATAAACTACATCCGACAGGAAGGCCTCTGATTGGGAGATTAGAGGTCTTTGAGGACCGTGGAATCATGTCTTTATTGCTGTTGTTCCCAGTTTCACGTTTGACTCTGGGCGGTAACACCTGTTACGGTCCCAGCTGTTAGCGAATAGGGAATACCTCAAACAAAAACAAAGCACAATGAAAGTATAAAAATACATTTTTATAGTAAAAATACCAGCAATACATTTTTATATAAAAATAATTACCAACAATACCTATTTATAGCAAAATGGCCAACAATACATTTTATCTGTAGTTGAAAGTATACAATAGCGTTCAAAATATATTTACTTGAAGCCATAAAATTGTATTCAAAATATTTACATTTCGGCATAACATATAACACAAAGTGGTTGATATGCCACTAAACAAAATCAACCAACCTGACTTACATGCAATTAACTATTACATGTTTTCTGTAAAATTATTTAAGTCGTACTGAAATGCATGTTAAGTAAATATTAATTCTGTCATGATATCTGAATATTTATTTAACTTGCCTGAGTTATCAATCTATATAAATTTACCTTCTGTTATCGATGATTTATTTTGTAATTCTTTTATTAATGTGTCTAGACGGTTAATGTCAGTACAAAGTCAAACTGTTTCCGACGTTTTTTCTTATCCTTGAGTGTGTGAGGTAAACGAAAGAATGAGTGAAACGATAAAAACGAATAAAAAATCAAGGCTAAAAAAAACAACGTCTGACTGTAAAAAAAATGAATGAAGATTTTTATCTTTAACTTATAAAGAAGAAAAGCAATTGAGAAAAAAGAGTGAAAGAAAAAGTGTGACTATATATATATATATATATATATATATATATATATATAATCATTTCCTCACAAGAAAGG